GTATCTGGCAGAAAAAATTGCAGTTACATTTTTTTCCCCAAATCGTTCAGCCCTAGTGGGGACCTCAGTTTTTGTCCCCAGTCCACAGTGATACGAGTCCCCACGGGCTTGCATGCAGTCCCCACAGAGATATAAGAACATGAGACACACACAGAAGCACACACAGAGATGTGTTATTTGGCTAAAAAAGCAAACTAAAACTTTCAGAGGAGAGCAGAAAAGGCTAAGCAGGGGTGATGAAAAACAGGACAAAGGGTTAACAGCTAAACAGACGGATGTGAAAATGTTCATTTCATAGACAATAAGGTAGAGGGATTTTACAAGAAAACAATACAGGGAGCTAGAGAGATGAACAGATGGAAGAAAGACAAGAGAAGTAAAGGAGGAAGATGTAATGGGAGAGGGTCTCACCTCCTTGCCCTTCACCTCTTAATTTCCTCTCTCCTTTGTTTTTCACCCAACTCTCTTTTCCTCATTCTGAGTGTTACCTGTTTAAGTTCTCTCCACAGATGTCCCAAAAACTAGAGAGAGATGCGGAAAGAGAGACAGAGAAGGAAGACGACACAATAGACAGATGCCCATGTCTGTGTGAGAGTTTGTGTTGAATTTATAAGTAACTTCGTAACTTTTGTGCGTGTGTGTATGATGAAGGGAGGATACTAACAGAGAGAGTCGGAAAGACATGGCTCGCCAGAGTTTTTCCGCTTTTTTCTTCCCTCTACCCACAAAACAATGTTTTCTGTTTTTCTTTTTTATATCATGTTGCCAGTAGAGATGATAAACCAGTCTGGCTACAGTTTTGAATAAATGAACAGAGTATCGACTTCTACATGTTTATGCTCTGCAGGAGAGAGAAGGAGATAGCATTGTGTTTTATCTCTCGTCTTCCTGCTCTGAGACGGCGTCTAAGAAACTCTTTCCAGGAGACCAAAATACCTACAGTGAGCCCAAAAGATTTAGGCTTATTTAGGATCAACAGCTGCACCTCAACCTAACTACATGAGAGTGTGTGTGTGTGTGAGAGAGTTTGAAGTAGATTTAAATAAAAATGGTCTGCGAGATAACCATAGACTGTATAAAAAAATAACACGCATACACTTTGGTTGTTTATTTTTTCCATGTCACGCTGTGGCAGTCAGTGGATTTAATGTGGTTTAATCATGCCTACCTGATCCTCACCAGGTCCTTCAAACCCTTTTTGTCATCAGGCCCACACACACACACACACACACACACACACACACACACACACACACACACAAATACACAGCAAGACAAAGTTGTACACATGCACACGCACACACAGTTGCACCCTGCATGATTAATGCTAAGGTATGTTTGGATGTAGCAGATGCTTCACTACTGAGGTACTAACCCCAGGCAGGTCTGAGTCAGCTTCCATTGACTGGCCTCATTGTAGCATTGTGTGTGTGTGTGTCTGTGCTTTGTCCTCTGTAGATCGAGCCATGCCTCTGTGGAGGTGCATATTTTACATATGCGTAGTTCGTTTTGAGAGGGTGATTTGCCCTGTTTTTATGTTTGTGTCATTAGTCTTCACAGGTCATCAAACAATTACATTTTTTTCTCTTTTTTTGTTAACATGTAATGGCTTATTAGGGCGTTAAAGTTCAGGTTTAGCAAGGAGGTGCGAGAAGCTAAATGACTGTACGTAGAGAGACTAAAGAACCAGTTCTCTGCAAAGGACGCCACTTCTGTCTGGAGGGGGTTCAGACAGATCACAAACTATAAACCCAAAGTCCTCCATTCCTTGAAGGATTCTCGCCTGGAAAATGAGCTGAACCAGTTCTACTGCCGCTTTGAGAGTCAATCGGACACCATCCCCCGTGACTCCTCCACTCAGCTTCACCCTCCCTCCTTCACCCTCCCACCCACCACATCTTTCCCTCCCTCCTCAAAGCTGGCCAGCTCCTTCCCCTCCCCTCCTCTCTCCATCACAGAGAGAGAAGTCAGCGGCCTTTTCAGGAGGCAGAAACCCCGCAAAGCAGCTGGGCTGGACTCTGTCTCCCCATCCACCCTGAAGCACTGTGCTGATCAGCTGTCTCCGGTGTTCACAGACATTTTTAACACCTCACTGGAGATATGCCATGTGCCAGCCTGCTTCAAAGCCTCCACTATCATCCCTGTCGCCAAGAAACCAAGGACCACTGGACTAAACGACTACAGACCCGTCGCCCCGACCTCTGTGGTTATGAAGTCCTTTGAACGCTTTGTGTTGTCCCACCTAAAATCCATCACAGACCCACTCCTGGACCCCCTGCAGTTCGCCTACAGAGCCAACAGGTCTGTAGACCTGCAGTTAACATGGCCCTTCACTACATCCTCCAGCACCTGGACTCCCCAGGAACCTACGCCAGGATCCTGTTTGTGGATTTTAGCTCTGCTTTTAACACCATCATCCCGGCCCTGCTGCAGGACAAGCTCTCTCAGCTGAACGTGCCTGAGTCCACCTGCAGGTGGATCACTGACTTCCTGACGCACAGGAAGCAGCACGTGAAACTGGGAAAACATGTCACTGATTCCAGGACCATCAGCACCGGTTCCCCTCAAGGCTGCGTTCTTTCCCACCTTCTCTTCTCCCTGTACACCAACAACTGCACTGTCAAGCTCCTGAAGTTTGCAGATGACACCACCCTCATTGGGTTCATCACAGGTGGGGATGAGTCCACCTACAGGTGGGAGATCGACCATCTGGTGACCTGGTGTAGCCAGAACAGTCTGGAGCTCAACGCTCTGAAGACCGTGGAGATGGTCGTGGACTTCAGAAAGAGCACAGCCCCACCCTCCCCCATCATCCTGTGTGACTCCCCATGTCACCACTGTGGACTCCTTCACCTCCCTCACCAAGAAGGCCCAGCAGAGGATGAACTTCCTGCTGCAGCTGAAGATGTTCAGCCTGCCAAAGACTATGATGGTGCACTTCTACAACGCCATCATTGAGTCCATCCTCACCTCCTCCAGCACCATCCGGTACACTGCTGCCAGCGTATCATTTGCTCTGCAGAGAAGGTGATTGGCTGCAATCTTCCTTCTCTTCTGGACCTGTACACCTCGAGGACTCTGAAGCGAGCAGGAAAGATTGCAGCTGACTCCTCCCACCCCGGACACAAACTGTTTCAGACTCTCCCCTCTGGCAGGAGGCTGTGGTCCATCAGGACCAAAACCTCTCGCCACAAAAACATTTTCTTCCTGTCTGCAACTAGCCTCATTAACAAGGCCTGGGTCCCCCGCTGACACTCCCCCCTTGCAAACGATACAAATGTCTCTGCACATTTAAATACTGTTTCATCTCGTGTTGGGCACAGGCACGTCGCACATATTTGTTGTTGATTGTTGATCTTTGTTGTTGTATATTTTTATGTTGTCAGTTTATATATTTATATGTACACAATAATATCTTCCATTGCGTTACTTCTGCACGGCACAGACCCAGAATAATGCACATGTATGTTCTTCCATTCCATATTTATGTATTTCTACATTTATTTATGTTGACTGTATGTTTGTCTACGTATAGCACCTTATCACCATAGCAAATTCCTCGTATGTGTAAAACACTACTTGGCAATAAAGCTCTTTCTGATTCTGATTAGCAGAGGCATGACGTCAATATTTTGCCTTTGACAGCCATTTTCTGTATTTATTTGAAAGTTTACAATTCGTTCTTATTAAAGGCTTTTCCCTCATGTATTGACAGGTTTTTGTCTATTCAGTATTAAATGAATAGAGATCAAGGTTATTAAAATGGTTAACATACAGCAGGGCAGGGCATCTAAATAATACTGATATTGTAATATGTTTGTAATATAGAGATATGTTCTTTTAGAGTGTGTGTTACAGTTAAGTGGCAATAATTTCTGAGCTTACAGCATTTGAGTGCTTTCGCTCAACAAAATCAGACAAAACAACTCAACAAAACAGTAAATCATTCTTATTTCATCTTATTCTTTATCATATTCAGATTAATATTTTGAGTGTTTCCTTAAGCACCAATAGTGATCCCCACATTCGATTCTCATGTATTGATAGTTAGGTATTTAATTTAGAACATCACAAAAATGGCATTACTTCCTGTGTAAAGGCTCTACCGGACTATAGACAGTAGGTCCAACCATATAATGCGCCAGTCTTAATGTTGATCAACCCTTGGCTACGCAGATGACATTGTCATTTGATTTGGGACAAGTTTAGATGCATCCTGCCCCCTATGTTTTCCTCTGGACAGATGGAGTAAAAGAAAATGACACAAAAGTGGCTTCAAAGGGAAAGGAAAGATAGGAATAGAAGTCTGCACAGACAAATCTACATGTCCAAAGCCTTTCAAATGTCCACAGTGAAGGTGATTAAGTGGATGTTCTGGTGAGGCTCATTTTCTGAAAAGTGAACAGACTTTGAATTTCAGTTTCACAAAATTTTATTCTCGTTCGTGATTCATTTGATCTGCCGTTCACCCATCCAGAGCCAGAGTTAAACTTTGGACTGTGTGTGCAAACTTTCAGTTCATGAAAGGGGAGAACATCTGCACAAACAAAACCTGACGCTTTTCTGTTCTGCATCTGTGTGTGTGGTTTTAGGCCTGTAGAAATAACAATCTTTTCTTTCTCTCTCTATTTTTCCTCTCCATCCTTCTTTGTCATTCTTTTTCTTTTATTCTGCTCACTGTCTTTGTTTTTCTCAGGGGGAAACATTTCAACATATCCAGGACATTGTGGTGTCTCTGCTGCGGATCATCAATAGCACGGTCATCACAATGGGTCGAGAGCACGCCTTAATTGTAAGTACATGCAACTTTGCGTAACTGCCATACTGTACATGCTGGAAGTTCTGGAAACAGATGTGTCAAACATTGCAGAACCTTCTCGTGTCTTTTTCTTTCTTTGCCTGCTGTTGAAAGTGGAGTAATTAAAAAGGCGACCCTCCATCCACGCTTCGTCTATTATGTAATTTCATTCTAAAGCACAAAGTATGTCAACAACAGCACATTTTGTTTAAAATACACACTTTTATTGTACATACAAGAGGAAGATCAGGAAGAGAAAGGGCATTGTGGGAGTTCACACACTGTTATGGTTAATTAGTAAGTGTGGTGTCATTCAGGGTTCTAATTGGTGGCAACTTGTCACCTAGAAGCAGCTGAAATTGGACCGGTTAAGCTCTAAACTGCTTTGACCTAAGCAGTGTGCAGATGGTGTGTGTTTATGTGTGGGCAAAATAATAGTGTGGGTGTGTGTTTGCATCAGGGATCAACCCATACAGAATTGGTACAGATTTTTAAGTTTTAATTTCTGATAATGAGAGATGTCTGCCGGTATATAGTTATTTTACAAATAATTTTTTGCTGTTGTCTAAAATTTCTAAATGGCTTAACGTACCTTGACCTGATAAAGTATATAATTTTTTTGTACATACGGTGTATAGTCCTGCAGAGTATGTTTTTAGCATTGATTTTTGTTGCTCTATTGTAGCTCAATGATTCAGCTAGCAGCAGCAACGTGGTCTGAAAGATACAGAACCACTTTATATCAATGGAAATTAGGGCTGCACGATTTGGAGAAAAAGTCATATTGCAATTATTGTGGACAATATTGCGATTTGGTTTTTAATTTATTAATGTTAAGTATTAACTTGTCAATAATCATATTGGTCAACATTTAATGATTTTCTGCAGCACGTCAAACTTTATTCTAATGTCCCGCCCCATCCAGGCTGTGATTGCTCTGCTGATGAGAAGTGACTGACATCGGCTTTATAAAAAGTTGATAAACAAAAGGCAGCAATTAGCTCACGTTAACTGGCTAGTGATCCAAAGCCAAACCTTCTTTATCTTATCCCTGTTTTCTTCTTTCTTACCGCTTTAGCTGCCGACGACACGTAACGTTACTGTAACGTAACTGTCTCTTTCACAGAGTGACACAGGCCCACCGACTTTTCTCTCGCTGCTCCAGTGGCGAGTCCGGATATGATTTGAACGATTAGCGGCAGGGCCGGGAGGGGGGTTCCGGTAGGTTGTTGTCTTTAACATTAACGTTACTCGCTCACTGCCCATAAATTACTTTTTGTGGTTCGTATTTACCTGTTTTAGGGGCACATGCAAGAGTCTGGTGTGGGCGGAGACAATGAGCAGAAGCAGTGCAAACTGAGAGGAGAGTCTCTCCCACACAGCACACTTTTTTTGCTTAAATCGCACACTTTTTGCGGTTATGTAATCGCACATAACAATATCGTGATTGCGATTAGATTAATCATGCAGCCCTAATGGAAATGATTATCTATGGTAAGTTAACATGAACAAGGTGATGTTTGGTTTTGGGGAATAATGTTTCGAAAGAGATTGGACAGATTTTCTGTTAAATTTACTAGGTAACTTACTGTACTGTACTAATTTGAAATTAAGAAAAACTCCAGACATCCACAGCTAGTTTCACAGTAATTCATAAGGAGTTTATAGTTGCGTTATTAGCTCAGACTTTGCAAATACTGATACATCTTTGAAACATGAAAACAGGCCAGAAGCTAACTGTGAAGTGATAACTGGTCTACCCCTAGTTTGCATTGGCTCACGAGTGTGTGTGTGTGTGTGTGTGTGTAGGGGGGGGGTCCTTTAAACAAGATTGAGCTTACATCAAAACACTTCCATTTTGGATGGTAATAAAGGAGAGAATCAATCACTCAGACAACGTTGACAGAATTTTTAATCATCTGTCAGTCTGTGATCAGCTGCCTATCACTTTGTCTGTTAATGTATTCTTAATACAATCTCCACCGTGCCCCAAAACCTGATATCCATTCAGCGAGCTGTCTCTTAGTTTCCAGAGTGCTCATCAGCTTGTTTTCCACTCGTATCCTTTAGCTCTTCAGTTGTTGCTACATTCAAATTTTGGCTGTGACGCCGTCCAAAGACACAGTATTCCAGTGTTAAATTCCTTGAATTTTCAGAATCACTCCAATTCCCCTGCTTATTGCTGTAATTTAGCCAAAACTGTTGCAAGTATTCATTCCCAGCTGTAGGCTTGAATCCATCCATCCGTTCATACATCTGTCCATCGGTCTAGACAGCCACTCAGCCAAGTGACAAACAGTACGCTCGTTTGTCATCCAAAGTGTCGATGCTTCATCTCCCTGCTTAAATGGAAAAACACTATCCTCACTTTGAGTCAAAAAGTTAATCGCAAATTAGCCGCTGAAGTCTGGTTCCCACAGAGAGAAGGACACGAGGAGCACATTCTCAATCTCCCTTAGACAGAGAGATCTGAGAGGAAATTTCCAGCAGCTCCTTTGGTTGTCTTTTGCTTCATTATTCCTGGTCCCCTGGTGTATTTTGTGAGCTGAGGATGGATTGCTGTGGAAAAGTGCCATTTACAAGAATTCAGCTTGGAAAATGCCCCAACTGACTTTAATAACACTTAAACAGACTACACATCCACAGGACCATGGGAGAGATGCTTTATTCCAAAACTTTGGAGCCTCCTGAAACATAATCAAAGCCCATATGTCATATGGCCAGAAACGTTGTTGTGGTTTATCCAAAGCTTACAGCCACCAGAAACACTTCTTTCGGAGTTTCTTGACACGGGACTTAGTACTGGTGCGGCTGGTGGAGGAAGGGGCTGGCGTGGGCTTGGTTTGAGTGGTTGCAGGCACATCATACTCCCCATCCAGGGCCTCCATAACCCCCTGTAAGCGTCCCTCCTGCTGTCGGAAATCATGCTCCACACTGGAGAGGAGAGAAAGAGATGGCAGTTGAAAGGGAAGGAGGCAGCTCGATTTTAGAGGTAGTGTCAAATCAAGGCAAATTTATTTTTACAGCTAATTTTTCACAAAAAGAGATTAGATGTGGGGGCAGAGAGAAAGAGAGAGACAGAGGTGTGAGGACAAGTGGAGGTCTACTGAGCAGAAAGAGAGATTAGAAAGAGAGGGATTGAGAGAAAGGTGAGCGAAGGACTTTTGGTGACATTAAATTGTAGTCGCAAAAAGCTGACGGCCTCTTTTTAAAGATATGTTGTATTTACGCATTATGCAGTTTTATATGGAGATGTAAAATCATTTTGTGTTCTTATCTCGGATATATGCACCTTCAGCACGCGTGCACACACACACACACACACACACACACAGATACTTTCACACAGGCCTCAACTCAGCACTCATTTCACGTCCATAGTATTCTTCTCCGCTTCATGCACCAATACATCACAGGCTGGGGGGATGAGAGAAGTGGGAGGAGGATGAAAAAGAGAGCAGGAAAGAAGAGAAGAGGAGAGGAAAGGAAAGTAGAGGGGCGTTTGCAAAATGGAGGAGCTAAAGGAAGGAGCAAGTGAGGAACTTTCAATTTTTTTTGCTTTTCAGATGGGTTCAAAGCAGACCCTCTTGGCTTTCTTTTTCTATGCTTCTTTCATTCCTCTCTCGCCTCTCTCGCACACCTTTTCTCACCGTCTCTCTGAAGTGTCCACCACTGCAAGTCATAGTGTAGTAGACTTTGAGTTTCTCTCTCCGTTTGGTTACAGTGTTTTTGTGTGTGAGATAAAAATATGTGTGTGTTGAGTTGGATTTTAGGGGTGGAGCAGCATAGGGCCTGGCATCTGGAGTTAATGAGCCACATGATGAGGCAAGGAGAGCAGAGACACCCCCCCCTCCTCTTCCAGTATGCCAACACACACACACATACTGTACAAACGCACATGTGCTCTCGTGACATCCAGCGTGTGCATCTTCCACAACAAGCCCACGGCTGCGTGACGGAGAAAAAGGGAGCATGCACAGACTTAGGGATGGAGAAGGGAAAGAAACTGACTCTCTTCAGGGAGATGGAGGGATGGATAAATGAAAGGAAGCGAGCTTTAATAACACAGGGCAGAGAGGTCACTGCAGAATAAAGTATTGAAACAAAAAGAGAAAGGGAGGTAAAAGACGAGAGGATGAGTGCCACTGGAGATGAGGAGAGGGGAGTGCAGAAAGGTCTTTGCTCCCCAAGAAAGAGCACAGGGATGGAGGGAGAAAGGGAACGAGTGAATAGAGGAGAAAGTAAAAGCTCTGGTGGGCACAGAGGAAAGGAGATGGCTACCATGAATAAATGATAAAGGAGATGTACTATGAATTCACATACACACAGGCAGACATTGTTCAGACACACACAATATATATAAAAGAAAAGTGGCACACTTATCCCACATTCACTCAATTTATAGTCTAACTTGTTTTAGAGCTTTTCTTCATCAGGTCTCTCCTTGCCCACACACTTCACTAGGTTTTACTCCTCCCCCCCTCAATCCACTCTAACTATATCTCTACTGCTCTTTACCTACCCCTTTATCTACCCCTCTCTCACTATTTTTCATGGGATTACGGCACGTTGGGAAAAGCTGCTGCTCTTAATTCTGCCTTCAAGCTGTCACCTTCAGCATCTTTGCAACTGTGCGCTTGACTGTGTACTGTTTTTGCATCTATCTTTGCTGTTGGATTTTCAATTTAGTCATATAGTGGTCAGGGTTAGAGTTTAGGTTTTGCGTGTATTGATGTGTTATAGAATACAATAATTTATGCGTCTTACTGCTTGAGGGTACTATGAGTAGAGAGAGATTACCTTGAGGTGTTAGGGGGGTGTGTGTGTGTGTGTGTGTGTGTGTGTGTGTGTGTGTGTGTGTGTGTGTTTGTGTGTACGTGCCTGCATATGTCTGTGTGTGTGTGTGTTTGAGCTGTTTAAGCTTTGGGAAAAAACAAACAGAGGGCCTGTCAAAAGTTCCTCTCCTTCTTGTCTCTCATCATACAGATTAATTAGGACTGACAATGGCAAAACATCTTCAGGCAGCCAGCCCACATCAAAACCCCTTTTTTCACCACAAATCATTTAGATGGATGTATCAGTCCCACGCATAATTCGTCCTTTGCATGTGTGTTTCTCTCTTTCCCTATCTCCCATCCTCTTTACCCAGAATCCCCTGTGAGGGTTTGATAAGACTGTTACTGTCCAATCAAACAAATGGAGCCCTTGTACTCCTTACTTTTGTGTGTGTTTGTCACAATGGAAACTTTCGCTGATATATGAGAAGAAACATGATTAGGAAGAATGTTCTTCATATCTGTCCAAGACATTAACATCTATCACATAGCGTGAAATGTATTAATTTCTTTGTTTCTCGGAATGTATGAGCGTGTGCCTGCAAGTATCCATATGAAATGCGTGCACAGACGTTACTAATAAAATGGGAGTCTCCTTTTTTGTTGGATTAATTGGCTTGTGTGAATGCATGATTATATTTGCACATGTGCAAGAAAAACAATGGGAAAGTGGATCAGGAAGGAGCATCTCTTAAACTGAGCAGAGAGAAAAGAAGCATGATAATGATGTGATAAGTAGCAACATACTCGTGAGAGCAGGGTAGCCTCAGGCCCACAAAAGAAATTCCCAAAATGTCTGAAGATATTTTAATTCAAAGCCTTGAAAAGTAATGTCTTACTTACTATTATGAGGTTTTCTTTTGTGTTTGTATGTAATGATATGTTTCTTTGCACTGCAGCACTCTTGAATTACAGAGTAGGTGTGTGAGTATGTGTTCATTTACATCTGTGTATATCCGTATGGATACATGGGTGGATCAGTATGTTATCATGTGGCAGTCCTTTCCCCTTGGTGTTCATTACAACTTGCGGGGCCAAGGATCCTGCTGTGGTAATTAAGATCAAGGGGAGGATAGAATGGGATGCGGAGGAAGAGGGAGTTAGAGAAGTGTGTGAAGAGATGGAGAGATGAATCAACAGAGGAATAGAAAGTAAAAATACAGGAGGGATGCAGAAGTGGGGCTGCTGGAAGGCGGGTGTTTTCGAGAATTAGGGAGAACGGGAGAGATAAAGGCCCTGTAAAATGTGGCTGTATCCCTTGTGGCCTGCAAGGGATGATTATATATGATTGTAAAAAGCAGAACTAGCTTCAAGCATTGCTTCGGCTTGATACATGAACACAAAAAGTTTTGGACCAAAAGAAGGTTTTGATGCCAGATTATTCCATTTACAGCAAGTAAATATTTCTCCATGAAGCTACCGTATATGTGAAAACACACATTTCCAGCTTATGCAAGCAGTGCAGAGAAAGAGCAGAGGCTTGGAGGTTGGGATGGAGTAGGGTGATTATTGCTTTGGAAATTGACAGATGGAATGAGGCAAGGATGTACAGAGGAAAGTAGTTTAATGGAAAGAAAGAGAGATTTGGCAGGCATGGGATGAAAAGATGGAATGATTTACATAATGAAAAGATGAGAATAAGAGAAGGGAGGTGATGGGAAGATTCAACTGTAGTATGTGGTATCAGATTTTGAGGGCGCAGCAGCTCTGTACGTTACGAGGATCTAAGAATGCAATTACTTATTTAGGTCACACGCACACACAAGGGATGAGTGCAACAGGAAAGACTCATCATTTAGCTGCTGAATTAATTTGCTTGTTTGCACTGAACATTCTCTTTGTTTAAATAACTTTCATGGAGAGAGAATCCTCTTTTAATCGCTACAATACTGCATGTATTAGTTTCAAGATTGATGCGTTTTTCATCTAATTGGATTTATTGTATGAGTAGTACAGTTATTAGAGTGGGAGAAGAGGGCAGAGACGGCAGCATACCAGCAAAAAGGCTAATGAAAAACAAAACAAAAGAAAGAATAAGTGGAAAAACCTGAAAAAACAATGGGAAAGGCAACAAAAGGCATACAGCTTTCTAGGAGGTGTTTCAGAGCTGTTTATTATGCTCAAGGAAAGAATGAGTTGTCAGTGGTGGGTTATGTAATGCAGTAAGCTCATTATCTTGATCATGTTACCTGTAGATGATGCAGGCTGTCTTTTGGCAGGTGGGGCAGTTGTTAATGTCCTGACCAGTTCTGTATGAGCTGCGACTGCAGAAACAACAGATGTAAAACATTCACACATACTCGCAAAAGGAGTATAATTGAAACACACCTGTGTACTTAAACATCTGACGTAACAAATACCTCTACTTATATTGTGTTGTTATTTCAGTTCTATAGTAATTACACATATTTGTTTTAGTCTGCTTGAAGAACATGCCCACCTTGACGTTTTTGTAAAATTTTGGCTTTGGGTAAATTGATATAAATAAATATTTATAAGCCACTGAAAATTACATTTTTCATAGACTTAATATTATACACTGATGTTAAGCAGCAGAGCAAGAAAAGGTAGAATTTGCAATTTTGCACAAACAACAAGCCTAGCTTTTCTTGAGTGGAAAGAGCATCGCTCTCTTGACTACTGGTGTCACAACTTATTGCTCTCTCCACTTAAACATACAAAGTGCAGCAACACCAGCTGTGTTCTCTGGGTGTTGTCAAAGGGCATAAAATAGCTTGCAATGTTTAGTGCATGTGATGTTCCCCAACAGGGGAATCCAGGACATTGCCTGAATAGTCCTGGTGGGTTCTAACATGCTTGCTTTGCATTACAGGTAGGTGAAAATAATCAGTAAGCATTGTTTGTAGTGACCCTGTGTCTGCAGTGTCTGGGTAGGTCTAGTTGGAACCCAAACATTAAATGGCAAAAAAAAATTGGTGTGCATTACAAAAAAATGATCACATGTGCAAACCGTGTTAGCAAGGTTGAAGACTACAGAGCCGTTGGGTAATAAAAACATCCGACAAGCTCATGCTGACTGCCATGTAATTAAAACGCTTCATTTTGCCAAGATATTTTGGCTGCCCCTTTACTGAACTGTGTAGATGAGGGAGAGGCTGATTTATGTTGATAAAACAGACATTTTAATTACATGGAGAGAGACTGTGTGACTGGCATCATTTTTTCTCCCCTACCAGTCTTTTTTTAAAGACAACAACAGTAAGAGAAGTCAAGTATTTGCTTCAGGAGAGGGGGAAAAAAACAAGGAGCTGAGCACAGCGACAACCTTTTAGCTCAGCCGACATTTTTATCACAGCGGCCCACTTAGAGTACTTTCATTTCTGGCACAGCATCAGATACATGTAGTCCCTCTTACATGCTGGTTCTCTTACTTTTGTCTCTCTTTTAGTACTTTTCTCTCCATCTCTAAATTGCTCTCTCTTTCTGGCTCCCCCTTTCTCTTTTGTCTGCCTTTCTACCCCTTTTTACTGTGACCCCTTTATATTTCTCACACATGAGACTTAAGCATCATCACAGCAACTGTTCACACACACATTGAACGTTATGACTACCTAATATTGAACAGTCACACACGAGGTAGGACAGCATGTACACGGAGTTTAGGAGCCTTATTGTGCAGCTTAAACATTAATTTTATTCTTCAATGGTAATCGGATAGGGATTAGTCTGGAGCTAGAGACATCTGTTAACCACGAATGAAAATGGAGGGATGGAGCGAGTAAAAATGTGTAAATAGGTGGAGTTAGAAATATGGTTTTGAGATAACAAAAATGGGGAGGAATTGGTTTCAGGATGTTTGGGAGGAAACAAAGAATCAATAGGCAGGAAAGATTAGGAAGAAGTAGGAGAAAGGGGTTGAAAGTAAGCTTGGGGCGAATATGTGATATAAACTACAGGAGAAGAATTACTGACAGTAAAGGTGGAGGTGTTTGAGGAGGTAAAGGATGGGGAGCGATTGAGGGCGGGGGGGAGACAAAACAGAGTGACACATGCCAGTGAGGGAGAGTGATGGACAGGTTGTTGGATGGAGAGAAGAAGAAGATCAAAAAGGGGTGAGAGGGCAAAGGAGTGATTCAGTTTTTAGTTGGAGACATGATTCATGTGTGGGGGTGGAGAAAGAAAGATAGGGAGAGATGAAAGGTATTAATTAAGATTGGAGGAAAGAGAGGTGCGAGGGAGGTTGGAGAAAGGGATGAATAGCTTGAAGCAGGTTAAAGAGCCTTGGAGAAAGAGGAGGGTGTTGATTGAAATGGAGTACATAGAGCCAACTGAAATGTATAAGGAGAGAGACACAAAGGATGTGGAGCCAGGAAAGGGAGATTTACGAATACAAGAATGAGCAGGAGAGAGAAAGAAGAACTGATTAGTTTGCTTTGGTGGACAGTATGATGTCTCCTATGGACACTGTTAACGTGGGGAGTGCATACCCTATACGGTATTTATGATTATGGAAAGAAGTAGGATCTGTTAGCATTGACTACAGGCTGGCAGGTATCATATATCCCTACAGGATTGGATCACACGCACGCACACACTACAGCAATTCTCCACAGGCTTGACATTTAAAATCTATTACAAGGACTTGAAAGCCTGTTGGTATATATAACTATAAAACCTCAAATATACTTTCTCCTTAATCCTGTACACTCCCTTGACATTCTCTCTTCTCCCTCTTTTATCACTTTAGCTCACTCTTTCTCACACTCTTACTTAAGCACTTTGCTATTGATATTCATATGTATCCATCTTTTTTCTTAATGCCTTATCTCTATTTACATCCTTATCTTTACCTTTGCCTCTTTTCGCTGTCTGGCTTGGTGTCAAACCCTCTTTTTCCGTCTCATTTCACACTTCACTTGTATTCGTCCATCCCCACTATCTCCCCATCTCTATCCCAAGTGATTCCCCCCTCTGACTCCCTTCTCACCCTTCGCTGAGGGCCTTGCTCTTCTCCAGGTCTTGAATGACGTTGAGAAGCACCTTGATCTTCTCCTGATTGGACTGTAGGTTCTCCTCCACACTCTGCAACTGCCTCTCCAGCCTGTGTGGTGCGTTCCCCGCGTGTCCCCCCAGCAATCCTCCTGGAGCCCCATTACATTGTGCTTTCATATGAGTCTTACAAGGCAGAGTGTGGTCGTCAAATGATTTGCTCTTCTGTTTTGCGTAGTCTTTGAATTTGATCCGTTCTGAGGATGTTTGTTTGGGTGTGTTTGTGGTCTCCTGGGTGCTTTTGGTTTGCGCTACAGGTGTGGTCGGTTTGGAATGAGTGGGTTTAGGAGAGTGTTTTGGTGGGAGAGGTGGGGTGTTGGTAGATTTTGAGTCGCTGTGAAGGGAGGAAGCTGGAGGTTTAGAAGTGATACGGACCGAGGTGTGTTGGAGTGTTTGTTCATCAGCATGCTGAATTTTAGCCAAGTCATACTTGTGTTTGTCAATTGAAAGTGGTTCTGTTGCTTCTGCAGATGGTGTGTGTGCTCCTTGTGCATCTGTGGTAGCTGTGGTCCTGTCTGTGTTGTTGTGCATCTGTGTGTCTGTTGTTTGTGTGGCTGAGTCCCTGTAATGAGTAAAATCTGCAGAACGTGGCCTTGTCTGCTGTTTTGAATCTTTTGCTTTGTTCTGAGATGTGTGGTTGGAATGTGAGCTGTGTGTTTTTGGTATGGTGTGTGAGAGCTGTGGTACTTGAGCATTCTTTACTGATGTGGGTGTGGAGGTGTTTGCTGTGTCTGTGTTTTTGGTGTAAGGGTTAGGGTCTTTACTTGACTGGTTGGGAGCCGCAGACGGCATCCGTGGTGGATTAGGTAAAGTCTGGCTGGCTGTTATTTGATTGGCAGCCCTCCTGCGACATGCACCTGTGCATGGTGTAATCTGTGATCGTCTCCTCCCACATGTCCCACAAAGGCGGGGCGGGGAAGTTGCCATCACTCGACAGGGCCGTGGTGGGGTGGCGTGCACGGTTGTACAGACACTGCCCGTCTTTAACACAGAGCGGTGGCCCTCCCCTCGCAGAGACTGCACCCTCCTCCTCTCTTGAGTCGGCTCCTTACTGTCTGTGGCCTCAGTACAAACCCCTCCCACCACTTCAGAGGCTACCACACTTCCATTTATATACCGAGCTGTCCTGTTGCCTCTTGTGTCCTTGGAGTTTGTCCGTATAGTTTTGATCTGGCAGTAAACTCCACTGCCTGACCCCTGTGAGCCCATGTCCTGTGTCAGGCTGTTAATCTCGTTCTGAGATGTCTCCTTAGATACTGGCAGACTATTGCTGTCACTTTTGATGACTCCCCCGGTGTCCACGGTCGTTGTTTTGTCTGTTGCCATGGTAATTGGCCGATTCGCATTGGTTGGTTGGCTGGCGTGTTGTTTGATAGAGGGGAGAGTCCTCAGTCCGGGAGATGTTTGCACCCCAACACTGCACAGCGGGCCCCATCGCCCCCCTGCCAGGGGAACCCCCAGCGCAGGCACTGGATTGGTTGGGTCAGCCACCCTCCTGCCCATACTCCTCTGCAGGGTGGCTCAGCCCCCTGAGGAGCTGAACGGGTTGGAGGCTAGTAGTGACATTGGCCAGCGTTAACAGGATTATATCCAATAGAAAGCAGGAATGTTTCCAGCTTTTGTTTACCCAAATTAATTTGTGTGTTTGTGAGGCAGTGTGAGGGTTTTTATGTGGATGCTGGAGACAGGAATTCAATATCCAATAAGACTCTGAACTCTCAATGTCCCTCCATTAATGACCTTTTTTACTACTTTAGCTGCTTCTGATTGGACATCACTGTCAAGGCTTTTCGCAGTCTCTAACCAATGGCCTGCAGATGATGAGTTGGATGGATACTCTGGGCATTGCGGGTTTGTTCTGGAGACAGAGAGAGAAAAAGAAGAGGCAGTGAATGAGAGAAACCTCAGAAGAAAGGAGAGAGGCAGGGAATAAATTGTGAGATTGGCAAGAAGACACAGACATTAGGCACGTAAAGCACCACATAAAAGCTTCGACCTCCACTGAATGCACACGCTGACCAGATCGATAGAACTCTATCAACCTCTTATTAGACCAGCAGGCGGGTGGGAGTTACGACGGCAAAACTCTCAATCTCATCAAGCTGTTTCTCTTGAAGAAACAGAAAAGACTTAAGGGTCATAGTATATGTCTCTATAAAGTTGCAAGTTGCACACGCACCCCAGGAGCTTTGTCAATAAATCTTTATAAATTTAGGACGACAGATGTCATTGCAGTCTTTTATTACGTGATGACACAGTGTGACACATTTCAAATGATGTTGGGTTTGCCTCCCACATATGTAATCTGATGATGCATCACGCCTTGACATCTCTCATGGAGGCACTTTGGAAATCTGTCTAATGAGTTCGGCATAATGTTAAGCTCTGTAACATTGTTTCTGCCCATCCTCTCTGTTTTTCAGTGGGGTAGACAAGCATGTTGCCTTAAGTCAGTGTTAATATGCCTTATACTTCCTTTCTTTAATTGTTTCTTAGGCAGCAAAATTCATATTAATGCATAGCTAGGTTATGATAAAGCCCCGGTTTTGTGTTAATATGCTTTCTCACTTCAAATCACTGAGTCCGAATTGACTCAATATAAATGTCACACTGTGACACTATGATTAGCTGATAAGATTGGGGCATGATAATATATTCAGTTGGTGCTTTGGTGTTTTTTAACAGGGGGGATGGCCCAATGGGAGCACTTCACGGATACATGTTGCTGCTTGTCACTTTCATCATGGTGACACTACTCTATAGAGTATAAAAGCTACTATTATAGACTATTATAGATCCGAGACAAAATTGACAGAAGGGCTGTCTGATACTACTGATATTTCATAGCCATGGTGGGGGCCATGGATTCTGACTTGCACAAACCTCAGTCAGATCAAGGAGTCAGGCATATCAGCAAACACTAAACACCTTCCCCTGCACTCTCTCTGCTACTAGGGGATGGAGAGAGGGGATGGCAGGTTAAAAAGGGGGATTCATTTGGGTAATTTTCCTAATAAGGGGGATATTAAAAAATTGGGACATTGCAGCAGCCATTATTGGCAGGGTGCAAAGTAAAACAAAGATTACATTGAGGTTGTTTAAACTAAAATAATTAAAATTTCCATGCTCTTAAATACAGTACAAATTGTTTAATTTGTACTGTATTTAAGAGCATGGAAATTGGCGGGAGCCATATTTGTCCAGTTAAAAATTAGAGTTCACTTAAGATAATGTAATCACCTAATCTTATACATTTAGCTCCAGAGGGTAATTGGCAGTGCTGTCAGACATTTCACTTAATTTATTTTCCACATTTATTAAATCAGACACCTGCCTAACTGTGATTTGTAAGTTCAACTCGGGGAGACAATATGCCGTTGATTCCTGAATATTGGTGCTCTCTAACAGATGTCTATTAAAGCAAATGACAGAAGAACTGGTCACAAAAGATCATTTGTGCATGAAATTAGGCTAGGCTGAGCTTTATGTTTCCATCAGTATTTTGTTTTTTCTCCTACCAGTGTTGTCTTTTCATTGCAGTCAGTGTGTGATGTTAAACCAGCTGGCTCACACTCACACACACACAGAAAGAGAAAGAGCTTATTTTATGCCAGCTGGTGCAACATCACAACACAGATCCTTGCTGTATAGGGTCAAGGTTGAAAGTGCGATCATTTTCAAAATAATTTAAATATAGACATTTTCAGAAGGTTTAGAAATATGCCTGTCAGCAGTGGCCCTGTAACAGTTAAAATATGTTCTTAATAGTGGACGGGCACTAACTCTCTGACTGTGATGAGTCTGACTGCTGCACTAATAGTTCATATGTATTCAGGATCAGAGTCATGCACACATTCACTCATACTGATGCTCTGTGTGACCTATATCAACCCATTTTCAAGCCTGATGTCACATGCTGTTTTGACATCATGAGCAGAATTTAAAAAATGGCATTTTAGCCCCTTTAATCTCTTTTCCCTGTCAGCAAGTGTCATTAATATTGTCAGACTATTTGGACTTTCAGATTCCATTTAAAATCATTAAATATTAAAACTGAGTGAATGCAGTTTATAATGCTGGTGGGCCTGCCCATGGGGCCGCATTATAGAATTAGGAACTGATTAGATGTAGGCTGTTTTTAATCTGCATCCCTATTTTCTGAAACTTTTCTACATTTGTTTGCGAAGACGGTGTGCAGTTTGCTCATGACAAAGCTCAAGAGATTCACTGACAGACAGTGGAGTTTTGAAATGTAAGGTCTGTGCGTAAGGCACTATAGATCGAAGGATTTCTGTTTCAGTGGCATGTTGCTGCTATTTAGCCTAAATGAATATTGTGAAAGTGTGTTTGGCTCAAGGCCTGCTACACTGCCTGGGAGCTAGCCAGGGGGTCACACATAATTGACAGCCAAGAATTTTTATGATCGGTTACCACAGTAACTATGGTTACCATTGTCTTGGAGAGGACCAGACAGGTCTTGACCCAGAGGTTGCACTTCCTTCCCGGTTTGTGTGGTATTTTTTTCTTTTTGTTGTGTAAGTATGATGTCTTTTGTTTGTGTGTGTGTGTGTGTGTGTGTGGGGGGGGGGTGTTTACTATATTTGTGGGAACAGGAGTTGGCAGTGTGTTTATTCTTTTCCCCAAAAGTCTTTTATGCCCCACCAAATACAATTATGATATAATTTCAAAATAAGATAAGTTTAATTGAATTCACATTTCAGTGTTTAATATTAAAAATATACATTTACAAACCGTTCTTAGTGGAAAACATATTAAAGCTAACATAAAATTCACAGTGTGGCTCTGTGAGGAAACACCCCTGCTTCCCCCTCCCAACACACTGGCACGTTAGTATGTGCATGAAATGATTTTGAGTTAGCGGGAGATTCCTGGCGGCAGTGCACATATCAAAACAAAGCAAGCAGCTCTAAACGCTCCAAAATGGATTTTAGAAAATGGTTCCAAACCCCACTTGTTTTCTCCACGCCTATGAACCTTAACTCTGAATCTCAAATGACTGTAAGTACTTTTACATCCACACGTCGATAAACGAGTCTGCTGACCCCATACAACAAGATAAAGACAGCCCGGCTAGTTTGTGGCATCACGAAAAGCTTAAGGCCCACTGTGTTGACGCTACTCCAACTGGCCTTGGTATTTGGTACTTCTACCGCGACCTGCGAAAAGTCGTTCTCTACCTTAAAAAATCTATTCTCAGAACACAGGAGCATGCTTCACGCCAGACTAATTCAACGTTCTCAAGAAGTTCCAGTTAGCTCACAAGCGGCCTCTTCAGCTCTTCTAACTGTGAGTTCAATGTAAAGTTTCATGAAGACCGGTTGTTAGTGTATTCATCGAACTGGTATTATGTAGCCTACTTTATTTTCATTTACATTTTTAAGTATGGATCATGTTTGTTTCATTGTACAGCATTTAGTAACTTGGTTTTGAAAAGTGCTATACAAATAATTATAATAGTTATAATAATTACTGTCAAAGTACAGGTCAAGTATTTTGTGTTGTTGTGTTGTGATGGGACTATCAAATTAGTATTTAGTTCATTTTTAAGATAATTCTGTAAAAATCCAAATGACATTACAGATCTTTATTGTAAAGGGTGTAAACAATGTTTTTCATGCTTGTTCAAAGAACCATCAACAATCAGTGAACATGCACCTGTGAAATTGTCATTTAGACCCTAACAGCATACAGACGGTAGGCTATTAAGGCCATAGTTAAAAACTAAGAACACTAGAGAAGACTGACTCTGCTCATTTGCGTGAACATGCCTTAGGCATGCTGCAAGAAGGCATTAGGACTGCAGATGCTGCCAGGGCAATAAATTGCAATGTCTGCACTGGGAGATGCCTAAGAAAGCACTAAAGGGAGACAGAAAGAAAAGCCGATTATCCTTGCAGTGGCAGACACATGTAACAACACCTGCACCTGACCACTGGGTCACACCAGATACTGATTGCTACTTTGATTTTGAGCCCCCCTTTGTTCACGGACACATTATTCCATTTCTGTTACTCATATATCTGTGAAAGTTTGTTCAGTTTATGTCTTAGCTATGTTCATACAAATTAACACATAATAGGTTTGCTGAAAATAAAAGCAGTTGTAAGTACAGTTACATTGTCTGGACTTGCCTTCCTTTTCGGGACAAAATGCAATTCCCTCATTAAATTTTAAGGTGAAGGTTTGGGTTAAGGTTAGGTCACAATAGAGATGCATATGGTAGAAGGTAGGCAAGTAGTGGTTATGGTTAGGGTAAGTCTCCAGGAAATTAATGTAAAGTGATGGAAAAATGAGAGAGAGTGAGTGTGTGTGTGTGTGTGTGTGTGTGTGTCTGTGTGTGTGATATCTATTTGCAAAGCAGGCCTCAGCCAACGGTTGGATGAGGTATGGTGAGATCTGGTATTTGCAAAAAGAAATTGCACATGATAATGATATTTTTCCAGAGAGAAACAGAGAGAGAGAGCGCAAAAGGGGAAGCAAGAGTCTGTGTGTGCAACGGAGAGTATAAGGACAGCAGATGTGCGTGCATATGTACATAAGTGTGTGCGTGTGTTTGAGTGTGTATATGTGTTCTCAAGCAGTTTGCCTTGGGATTCAGACTAAGTCAATTGAAGGAAATTTCACTGCAGCTCATTTCCAAGCATTTGTCTTTCCACCAGCAGCCATACCAGACACCAGAGCACCTGCTGCTGCGTGTCCCACCCCCCCCCCATGCTGTCACCACGTATCTTTGTGTGTGTGTGGGAGTATACGTTTACACATGCGCCTGCCTTTTCAAGTCTCTCTCTTCACCCCTGACCCGGCAGGCTGTCAGGGAGAAAGTGACACCATCTCCTCAAAAATCAATTTCTCTGGTTCACACGCCTCTCTCTTTCTGTCATTCTCTTGCTCTCTCTATCTCTCTCTTATTGGATCTTACTGAGTACCACTCTCCTCTCGCTGCTCTTGTCTTTCACTGTTGCCTGTGTTTGTTGTCGCACTTTTCCACTCACCTCCCCCTTTTCAATCTCTGTCATGCTGTCTTTGATTTGCTGTGTGTTTCTCACTCCCCTCCCTCTGTCTCAATATTTAATCTTAGTCTCTCGCCCACATCACACCTCTGGCTGTGCAAAATGAAGGGGGAGGAGAAGGGGAGGCAACTCTGTTGGCTGGGGGATGAAGGGGAGGCGACGAAAGAGGAGAACAGGGGAGGCTGCAGCACAGGGAGGTGCAGAAAGGTGGTGGAGGGATAAGGGGGAAAGAACAGATGAAGGAGGAGGATCACGGAAAAGATGAAAGTGATGCGTGTGTGTATGTGAGTGTTTTGAGTGTGTCAGAGGATGAGATGTAAAGGCCCATTTTTCTAAGTCGAAATCTCCAAAAGTGTCTGATAGAGTTCGTTAAAGAATAAAGAGAGAAGCATGGAAGGAGAGAGATGCGTGAAGAGAGGAAGAAGGAGATCTGGGAAACGGCACGCCGCACTTGCCAGTAATCAATACGCACTGCAAGTGTGTTTGAGCATCTGTCACCACACACACAAACACACACAGCCATTAAACACTACAGGCAGTTTCTTGACAGGGTGCAGCTTTTATGAAATCTGTTTATACATGCAATGAGTTTAATTTACCAGTTGGTGGGTTTGGGCTGTTCAAGAATTGTCTACAATGCAGGCAGTCTCCATGCGTGTGTGTTTGTGTGAATGCGCACCCACGTCTTTGCAGTGGTAACAGAGCACTGAATGCTCCAGCGAATCGAGTCCCTTGTCATTTCAAGGTGAGCCTCATTTTTCAACTGCCGATTGACGGGCCCTGCGTGTGTGTTTTTAGCGAGACTAGACTCGCTTTACTGCTCTGTAATCACACTCCTTCTCTCCCTCACTTTCTCTCGCCCACTCACCGCCAGAACAAATGCAGCACTTTAATTGCCCTTTGAGACAGTGGCGCAATGCATTATGGTTAGTGTAGTCCAACCAGAAAAAGAAAACTTATGTTTTAGCATTTGATTTTTATACATTGGAGAATTTGATGTTTTATTACCACTATTTCTCTGATTATCCAAACCTTTGAGACTGTACATTTCTTTCTAACACTTAATTCTGTCAGGGACAAAGAATGTAGAACAATTTACTACAATTGTAGTTGGCAGGAAAAGGTTCTGATCTTGATGGCACTCTCCAAATCAATCTGAATAAGTATGCAAGAGTTCTTTCAATGTTAAGAAATAAAAATACATATTTTACATTTCCATAAATATGAATCACAGCACAAAATCAGACATAATTTCAAGACGGCTAGTGCAGGCGTTTGTTGATGAATAATTTTAGGAAGACATTGGAGTGATGTCAGCACAAGTAGCCACAATGATCTGCTGAGAGATCCTCTCTGCCTTGTTTTAATATGATTGATGGTTGAAAAAGACTGCTGATATGATCAGCAGACAAGCTGTCAGACAGGGCAGTTGGACCGATCAGCTCATTACAGGTACAACTTCACTTGCTACGCCTGAACAAACATGATTCTTAAAAAGAAACTCTGCTGTAGAATTACTGAGAATCCTTTCTCAGCTCTTTAGAAATAAGAGGCAGCATGTGTTTGACCCGTGAAATTAAGATACGTGTGTAATAAGTACAGTGAAGAGACTGAGAAAAGGGTCAAGTTTTGTGTCAGTATCTGTAGCAGTAGCAAATACTACTATTAGTATTTGTTTCATTTCTGCTTGTAACTTACTACTTGTAATAGATTAACTGCACGGTTAATCTATTTTTGTTTTGTTTCCAAAACTGGTCTCTGGTTTTATATTTTTTATCTTATGGTTTTTATATTTTACACAACATTCATCCTTACACCTTAGACAGGAGGAAGAATCCAGTAATGATCATCAAAACAACAGGAAACCTGCTCTGCTTTCTGCAGAATGTTTTGTTCTGCATTTTAATTGGTTACAACTGTATTTTTCAGGGACATTGCACTTTAATCAGCAATTCAACTGACGAGCCAGAAGCCACAAAGGCTAATGTTCATATCACAAAAGCCAAGCATCTCAGCCAACCCTGCATAATCCAAGTTTGGTTCCCATAGAAGCATTGTTTGGGGCAGATTGTGTGTGCCTCACTGATAGTAAGGACTCAAGTGTCTCTTCAACGCGGAGACAGTGCAAACTTGCAATATGAGAGCCTAATGTAGGTTTACTGCACACACTCATATACCATCAATTTTATTAAGAACAAAATAATAGAATATGAGCCCTTCAAAAGATTTTTTTTGTCATGGCACCCTGAGCCACCCAAACCCCTATGGTGCTTATCAATTTTAACTGTTTTAGATTTAATTATTATATTATATTATATAAACTGACATAAAATATGTTTATTCACAATGAATACAATTAAATACACTAATCTCTATAATGTACTTTCATTTCTTCAATGTTAAAATGAACTTATATTTAAGGCATGCAAGTACCTGTTTTCTTGTCTTGTTTTCATGTACACCAGAAGTGAGAGAGCCAGATACTGTTGGTAACTCACTATATCACAGCTGGTTGGCTCAGTCGTCTCAGAGTGTGCTGAGGGCTGAGATATATCAGCATTTCTTTGAGCTCTGTTTACCGTTTCAAGTCTTTCCATTGCTTGTTCTGGCGGTCACTTTTCTGTCTCCTGAGCTCCTGAAAACACCAGTTGGAAAGCATGATGTTACACACACCTGCAACTATGAGTTATCATGTCATTAGCTGCGGCATAACTGCATGTTAGTTTTTAATACAGTGATTTTGATGTTCATTGCTTTTTTCTTCTGTTATGATAGGTAACATAAAATGTACTTAATGTAAATGTTGCAGATTTTTAAAAAACAAACCATGTATTAACAATGATATGATCAATCTTTTAGCGCCCCTGGTCGTCTCCTAGGCTCAACTTGCGCTGCTCTGTAGCGCATTGGGTTCACTATTAATTTATGTTTCAACCTGGCTTACCATCTTTGTTATGCCTATGAGGACTTAACTTTGCCCCGAACATGAATGAGAATCGGGATTCAGAGTTTTGCCGTGATGCGTTCATTTTCTGATGACGAGTAATGTTCTGGGTTTAAGCTCGAGACCCTCAAAGCTACAGATTGAGAGCCAACACTGTCAGTCCTTGCCTGTGGACAAACCCCGCTGAGTATATGTACCTTGCCATGTGTAAGTGTGTGTGTTCATGTTGGGAAACAGTGATGCAAGTAGACAAAAGTGGGAAATGAATTTAGCCAGAGATTACTTAATTCTTCATTAGACCCATGAGGTAGGCTGGCCTGAGCTTGTAAGCCTTTTCTCTGAGGAACCCTCAGATACAGATAACAATGATGTTAATTTCAGTCATTTGAAAGGGTTTGAGCAATTTCTGTTGCACATTGCCTGCATTAACATTATCAGTAGTCATACTTGCATGTTTATGTTTTAAGGGATTCCATTCATTTAACATTTTAGAGGAAATTTCAGAATATAAATTAATTCCCATGTTCATTTGCACTTCCACACTTTTTTGTATATTAATGAATTAATTGAGGATGTGTTTATACCTGTCTGGGGCTCCTCTGCAAATCCAGTCTGAATCCTTTTTAGTCCCTTTTACTTGTTTATTAAGGGATAAATGGGGCATAATTCAAAGCGAAGTTGTAATCCAGTCAGAGGGCCCTCATAAAATTAAAAGTTAAATATGTTTGGTTTCATGTGTAAGCTTATTTACAACCAGTTTGGTACTTATAACAAGAGAAGTAGTGAAATATAGACCAAGACCATGTCATTGGCAAATCCATCTGCCAGTTTAATTAATTTGCTTTGTTGGTGGCTAGAGGAATGTGTCTTGAGCAGCAGAGCAGAGAAACTAATGTAAAACCGAATATTTATGAGATAAACACGATAAAGTGGAAAGTTACATCCTATAAGCCAACAGGGTAAAACAAAGTGTCTAAGTTAAAGGAGGAACTGTGGATGCATGACCACACACGCGTCTTATCAGTGTGACTAATAGTATGGATTTTTTACTCAAACTTTATACTCTCTTCCTCTGTCTTTTAGCATCTTCTTCCTATCACCTTTTTATCCCCCCTTTCCACCTGTCCTCGTCCTCCGACTTCTCTTCTCTCTATCCTTCTGTCATCTCATCTTTCTCCTCCCTGCCGTATCACTGATCCTGTCCGCATGTCCCATCCATTTCTCCTTTATTTACCCCCTAATCTATCTCTCCTCCTCTAATCTCTCCATCCTGTTGCCCCCGCTGCCCTCTCTCCCTCTCCCTCATCCATCTTCCTGCCCTACTGACTTTTTAGTCCTTTTCTCTTTGATTCCATCTCATCACATGTTCACAGTCTGTCTAGTTAGCAGAGCGGCAATTGTGTCACACACACACACACACACACACACACACACACACACACACACACACACAAGGATACAATCACAAACATACACACACATTTCTTTTGACTCTGCCTCACTGCGCCAATCTCCCTTAACCTTTATTTCTCTTTATCTGTATCACCTGTCATTCTCTGGAGAAAAGGGATCTAATTAAAGTCAATGCAGTATGTCATAACCTATTGATTAGGTTTCCCTATCTGTAATTTGCAATATACCCCTTCAAATGATCTCTTTCTGTGCTGCAGTTGTTATATAGGCACTGCTCTGTGCCTGTATGCATTAATTGCTAGACATGTAAACAAGTTTAAGCTAATTTTACAGAGTCTTGAAATTAGGTTTTGGTTTGTTTTGGGGGTTTTTTTTCACTTAAAACAAATATACAATGCTCCTAAATATTGAAAAAGAAAACAGCAACATTACTAGAAGAAAATCTAAAGTAATAACGCGCATTCATTAGAAAATTTAAGGAATCTTTAGAGATTTGATTAGTACTGAATCGAATTCCTGCCAGCACATGTCATCATTCTTTCTTCGAAGGATGGAAACAGAAATGCACTTGGCAATATTCTGATGCATCACTAATAAGCACATATCAGGCTCCCTATACACTTGAGCATTTAAAAATTTTTTAGCATTTATTCAAGATATGTGCTTCCATCGCTCTATAAGTCTGTTATTTATCAATATTTTTAATGCTTTTCAAACAAACGTGCACTTGCTCTTCAACATTTCTAATGTGATTTAAACAATGACATATCTGTAAAAAAAGATATTTAAATAGGAAAACCACATAAAAGGCAACTACATTAGAGGAAATAGAGACTGAGATTATTTCCTTTCTCTGTTTTTGACTTGCTGGCGTGTTTGTCTGAGCCAATGAACGGTTTGATAGGACACACATACACAAATGCACAGAAACAATATGCACAAACTGTCATTTTAAATGAAGATCTTAACTGACCTGAATTTAACCTGTTGAGGTTGTAGAAATGTTAAGTGCACATATATGCATATGGGGATACATATTAAGGTCACATATATCCACAGTGTCAGTTTTAGATCCCTGCACACATTTGCTTGTTCTCACAAAGGCACACACAGGCACACATGCACTGGGGTAGCATTAGTATATAAGAGAAGGGTTATTGCAATATAATCCCATATTAAAGCTACACTAGCTGTTCTGACGATTGGTTTAGAGGCTTTTCATAGCAACCGGGTAACAGAGACACACACACTCTGGCACACACACATACATAAATCGACAGAAGCATGTGGAATGCTTGTTAAAAGCGAAACTTATGAACGTAGTTAATGTTGCACAGTGAAACACACAAAATAAGCACTACACACACACACACACACACACACAAACACACAAACACACAGCACACAGACATAATCATATGCATCAAATCCTACTGTGACAGATGGAAAGGATTACTCACCTGCCACACACACTGACTATCCACATGTACTTTTGATGCTGTGATCACACTACTACTTTAAACAAAAATACACCTATATTTGCTATGAACAGCCTTCCTGAAGTAGAGACACTTTTGTCAAAGCTACTGAGTCTGTAGGAAACAAGACATCCAGCCAAAGATACTGTGGGTTTTTAATTTGTTTTTGTGGTACAGAGGTTAAACCTAAGGATTTTCTCCAATCGTCCAGTTGGCTTAGCCATACAGTCACCATTACCTCCTTTCACATTCTGACCAGTGTCTTAAATCTTGAATGAGCTGCTTTGAAAATAAAGTACTAGCCGTGGGCTACGACGCTGAAGAGATTCCTCAGAGGGACACACACTTACTGGACACACAAACTGACTATCTTTTCTAACAACTGTCTGTCATTGCTTTGCTCAGTCCCCTACCTTTTCTTATCCTTCTCTTTGGTCTGCATGCTTCTCCTCTCCCTTGTTCTCGGTGTCTCTCTCTCATCTCTGATAGTCCTTTAGTCCTTAGTTGCGCTCTCCGCCGACTCTTTACCGCTCTCTATCTCTCTCCGTCTCATTCTGTTGCTGCTGATCCTCGCATGCTCGAGGAGCCCGGTGATCCACCCTCGTCTCTCTCTCTCACTCTCTCTCTCACTCTCTCTTCATCCCTCTCTCCCTCCCTTTCCGCCCTTTTTCTGATCTATCTCGATCTCATTTTTTTCTTACGCCACCTGCAATTCTCACTCTCACTCTTTCTCTTTAGCTCTCACCTATTTCTCAAATACCATCACCCTGTTATTAATTCCTCCATCATCTCTCTCTTTCACTCTGTCTATTTCCCCATTTCTCTTTATTGGTGGCTAATCCTGTGCCATGCCCTGGTTTTTGTGTCTGTGTGTGTGTGTGTGTGTGTGTGCGCCTGCATTGACCCTGGCATGGTCGTAGACCCAGGGAAACTTTGGCAGCACAGAAGTGTCTGCTCCTGGGAGTCGAGCCAGGACACAAACAAACACACACGCTGGCACACACAGAAACACACACTCTTGCTTTATCAGTCACTTTATTTATATCTTTGCTTTTCTGTGTGAACACAGTCTACTAATGCCTCTCTCTCTTGTTCTCTTGCTCTCTCTAACTGATAGCTTCACCTCAGTCTCCTGTTTGAGCTGTATGGTTGCTGTCCTCCCTCTTCATTGCCCCACTTTATCCTTCTCACGCCATTCTCTCCTCTTCTTTTATCTTCATCTCTTAACACTCATCTCATCCCCCGTGTTTGACTGTCCTACCTCCCACCCTCCTTCTATCTCGTTTTCTTTCTGTATCTGCTTCTGTTCATACCAGCTGAGGATGATGCTGCTTTCTTTCTTGGGGCAGACGAGACAAAAAAACCAAAACAGATTCATTAAATAGACAGTGAGATTAAACGCCATATGACATCAGGTTGTAATTATCCTTAATTATGAGTGCTTTGTCTTTTGTGCGTGGCTGGAATTGTGTGTTTGCAAATTAATTTCCTCATTCGTCACGCATGAGGAAAGACGAGAATATTTTGCTTGTATTCACTTCTTTTACAGGCTAGTTTAAGATTTTTAATTTGAGTATTAAGTCAGAAATCGGAGTTGTAGGTTTGATTACGTTACAGCTTAAGTTATGTGTTAGCAGTTAATAATTGTACACAAATGAAGCAGAAGATCTCACAAATATATAGTAAAAGTGTTTCTTTTGTATGCAAGGGGTTATGTAGTTGCATTTTGAGTTATGACTGTCAGTGACGCGTTTATGTTTGTATGGACAATGAATTATTACCCACAGTGTGTTTGTGTATGTGTGTTCCCTGAGTGGTCCCTTGATGCAGTGTCCACGTGAATGTCCCTCCTGACCCATCCCCCATCTGAAAATAACTGGTGATGTATGCACCACTGCAAAGTGGTTGACTCACCTTGCGTTGTGTTTCAGTTGACCTCTGGTGAGACGAGCAAAGGGGGTGTGTGTTTGTTTCATGTTTTTATATCTCGGTGGGGACTGAATGCACACTAACCCATGAGTGCTCATGTGACTGCGGGGACAAAAATAGAGGTCCTTAAGGTAGAGACTGCTTTTTGAGGGTTAAGATGTGGTTTTAGGGTTCACGTTACAGTTTGGTTAAGGTTAGGGTTAGGGGCTAAGGATGCATTATGTCAATGAGATGTACCCACAGGGATAGAAAAACAAATGTGTGTGTGTGAATTTGTTTGTGCACTTTACATAAGCAACCAGGAGGCATAGCAACACAGGGAACGTTCAGAAATAATACACGTGTGCACGAAAACATACACCTATAACGAAGCATGAGTTGAAGTTTATAGTTGTGCTGAATCTCTGAGGTCTCAGTAATTGAATTTTCAAGTGGAAGATGTGAAGAGAAGCTTGTCATTTCTCCATTATTCATTATTCTTTTCCCCTTGACCTCTCTTGCTTTCTCCTCCTTATTTTTATCAACTGATTGTGTCTCTTTGTACTTGACTGGGAAATGGGTATCTGAGGACACGTTGATCTGTTTTCTGAACAGTAAACAGGTGTACGTGTTCACATACACATTGGAATGCAAACCCCCATGCACTCACACAGACATCCATGTTACCCCTTTGTCTTTCTCTGCCTCAGACAAGCATACAGCCATATCACACTGATGCAAACAACAACTCTAATTACTCCTCTGCACAATCAATCTCTCTCTTTCATCCCACTCTACTTTCCACATCAGCCCCCAAGTGTCTGAAAAACGTGTGCGAGTGTATGTTTGTGTGTAATAAGTGTGTGTGTGTGTGTGTGTGTGTGTGTGTGTGGTGGGGGGGCGGGGTTCAGAGAGGAGCATGTGTCTGTGGAGGTACAGTGAGGAATGCTGCAGGCTACCAGTGAGACTGTGTTTTTGTTCTATCTTCTATTTTGAAAAAATTATAAAAAATCACAGTTGAGAGCAGCGAAATGACATCCTACCTGGGGGGACACCGCATAAAGAGCAACAGGAGGGAAGAGGAGAAGAAAAAAGGAATGCACAGGCAGGATATGGACCTAAATAAAGTGCTGTGAAAGGGGTCAATGGAATTGATATAGAAGTATTTGAACATAATGTATGTTTATTATCCCCCTGAGCTTTAAATTGAAACTAATTATTAACTAATTATATTTGCTTCTGTTTTGCTGTGTGAATGACTTCCTTTCTGTCTACGTACTTGTCCTCAAATTAAGCTAAATGTCTTGGATTTTGGCAATTTGATAGGTGAGAACATACTAGTAGACGCTAATGTATGTACCTGTTGGATTTCTTACTCCACTGTTGAGTGACAGCTGTGACTAACTAACAGATTAAAACCTAATGCTTTAAGTATTTAAATTAGGGCTGTCAAAGTTAATGCTTTAATGCTCTGTCTTAATTTAAAATTAATTATATGTTAATTATATTTAATTGCATCAGTTGGGGTTAATGAACTTTAAACTGAGAATTCAAACTTGGTGACATAAAGATGGGTCTATGTAACTTTTGAATAGATGATGAGAAGACAATTTTTCACTCCCAAACAAAAAGTTACATTTAATATGTAATGAAATTCACTCTTGTTGTATTCAGTACACATTTGTTCCTACAGCCTTACTTTGACCATTAGCTTATGGTAGCAAAATATAGCAAAATTCATATACATATTGCTGCATTAGTTAGCTGACTTTGACTTCTCTATTTGTGATATTATTACAGTATGTTGTAGCAGGTCACATTAATAAACATTTAAATGCCAGTTATTATTTGTTCCTAGAACCAGTGTGTTTCAATCACTGAGGATGCTCTCTGCATACCTATTGACAAAACCAGGTTGAGTGCAGAAGTAAACAAATCACAGCTGCCCTGCAGTAAACTAGGCTGCAGTAATGGTGTGTTTAAAGCACCAGTGGACATCACAGTGTGATGGCTGTCAGAAACTCGGTCAGGGAATGTGAGAAGGAGGGAGTCCTTTATTTAAACAGTTTATTAAAACTAAAGTTAACACAAATGAGAAATGGGATGTGGACATCAGCAATGCATGTGTGCTGTTGAAGTGTTGGAGGTGCAAAAGAAGGTGGTGCAGGGTAAATGGCAGCTATAGGAAGGGAGAGAAAGATTGAACACATGGGTCCGTTTGTATAGCCTGGAAGGCCCAGGTGAACTAGGGCCCAATCCCAATGTCTACACTCAGACAGACTTTGAGGCGCATTCCCGGGAAGTCCGTGAGGGCTTAGGGCTGTCCCACTGTCAAATTGTCAAGTGCATGACAGCTCTCTCATGGACATTTTGAGCCGTATTTAAACACTTTTCAGAGGTCCGCATTTCTGCTAACTTTGCCTGGGAGAATTGCCCACAGTTCATAGCGTTATGACGTGACACACGGGGGTTACTAGGGTTACCAGGGGACACCTGGAAGCGAGAGAAATATTGCGTCAAATCTGCCTTATAAGAGAAGAAAAACAACAACAACTGTAAACAAACAAGCATGGAAACCAACACTGATGCTAAAACTGTTAGAATTCTTCTTAACATACATTTAAGATGGTACATAGAACACATGAGGTCAGAGGAATGCAATCACCTTATTACACACTTAGTTTATTCAACTATTTATTTTAGTTTTTGCTTAATGATGCTGTTTTGACCAACAATAGTGCATTGATTATTGACAAATATACATTGACATTTACCACTCCTCCACTCTGTAGGGCGGGAGCCTGCAGGACTTAAAAAAGTGTGCAACGTGTTTCAGCATCGTCAGGGTAACGTGATAATGTGGAAAAGTGCTGTTCCGTTCCTGTTTACACGATTTTGAGCCCTTGCAGCCTCTTACGCCAGCATAGCCTCCAAGACAGTGGGAGGGGCGTCATATGTATGACAGGATTTTGCTTTTTAACTGCTTTTACTAAGAAATATATCCAGAAGATAAAATGCCCTTGGGAAAAATCTGAAACACTTTTCAAACCTTTTTCAATGCAATTGAGTCCGGTTTTAATAGACAGCTGGACCTCCTTTTACCCACAAATCACTGAAACTACACTGTTGACCAACGACCACTAAAGACTGGCGTCTGCCTGTGGTGTGCCTGTCAGCTCTCGCTAGCTAGGCTGGGTATTTACTGCATGTTTCCTGGCTGAAATTCCACTTTTAAACTTGAGGTCAAACATGAACATTATTGTCTTCAAACGAGTGTCCCTTGTCCTTCAGATGTAAGTAAGCTTCTGAGTCTTGACCTGAGGAGTCTGCCCTTCTGTGTTCAACATACCTTGATAATGACCCCAGAGGTTCAATACCTGTGACTCCCTGCCAGTCAGTGAGAACTGACAAAGCCACTTGGGTGAGAGGCAAAATGTCTTCAAGTATCTTCAATCAAGTCCAGTTGCTCTTGACTTTTTAAAAAATTCTCCTTGGATTGTCAAAGAGAGACAATTTGATCAGCAAGTGGATGATTTGCAGTGAAAGTTATCTATATTCAAACTACTGCTGTAGGGTGTTGAACCCGTTTTGATTTTAATTATCATATGACCTTTTCTCTTGCCCCAGTCTCAAGATAAAGTAACCCCTTCTTCTGGTAAGTCTGTACAATTAGCAAAATCATCTGTATGTTGTTTGTTTAGTTTGACACTTTTGTGCGGTGTACCGAACATTGCAGCTTCTAGGGGTTCCTAGCAAGGCTTAGTTTGTATAGGGTTGGATAGATAAATGGAGGGAGAGAGGACGAGGAGTAGAAGGAGGAGGAAGGGAGAGAAATCCCA